CCGCTTAGTCATCATCTATTAACCGCTTAGTCATCAACTACTAACCGCTTAGTCATCAACTACTAACCGCTTAGTCATCAACTACTAACCGCCTAGTCATCAACTATTAACCGCTTAGTCATCAACCACTAAGCGCTTAGTCATCAACTATTTACCACTTAGTCATCAACTATTAACCACTTAGTCATCAACCGCTAACCGCTTAGTCATCAACTATCAACTGCTTAGTCATCAACTATCAACCGCTTAGTCATCAACCGCTAACCGCTTAGTCATCATCCACTAACCGCTTAGACATCAACCACTAACTACTTAGTCATCAACTACTAACCGCTTAGTCATCAACTATTAACCGCTTAGTCATCAACTATTAACCGCTTAGTCATCAACCGCTAACCACTTAGTCATCACCCACCTAATATACTTTAACGTGTTAATTACGATTTATTAATTACAACAAAATAATGTGTTAAGAAAATTAACACATTTAATGGCAGTTTGAATCCAGACAACACGGAGCGTTTGTCAACGCCAGGTTTCATGGTCCACCGATCACATGATGCACGAGACGCGTCAGCGTTACGCTAACAACAACAAACATGGAGGAACCCAATGAGAGCGCATCGCTGGACTGATGGAGGCCGAGTTTCATTCTAACAAGCTGCCTGATGGAAGCCTGGACCAGAGCCTGGTTCTGTGCAACATCCCACTGAAGCCCATCGAGCTGACGGTACCACCTGAAGGCAAAGCATGTTGCAGCGAGCACAGAAACCGCCGGAGCTGTTAGCGCTAGCAGTCCTGCATAGCCACGAATGATTTCAATGCGTTATTTCTATTGTAACTAATCAATCGTAATTAAGGCGTTAAAGCCCCGCCCCTAGCTGCTACATTAATAAATGAAGTACTGCGGTGCTGGTTTCTGACATTCAATTCAATTCAGTTTTATTTGTATAGCGCATATTTACAACAACAGTCATCTCATAGCGCTTCACAAAGACAGAGACAGAAACACCCAACAATCCAAACATCTGGATTCTCTATAAGCTTCAGCAGTCTGCTGGTGGGACGGAACCGAAAACCCCCACAGGGGAAAAAAACCTCTGACAGAACCAGGCTCAGGGAGGGACGGCCATCTGCCTCCACCGGTTGGGTGAGAGTGGGATGATTTATCAGGGAGCACACGGCAACAATCCAGTTATGTGTTTGTTGCAATAGGAAAAGAAACGCAGAAATGGTCGTACGCTCTAAAAGCGTGAGTCACATGTCAACGTGAGCGTGCACGTGGCCCGGTCACGGCTCAGAGGTGTTCCACCTTCAAACAGCAGCATGTGATCAGCGTCGAGCCTCGAGTTGGAGCTTTTCTCCTCCGGGTCAGTGAACTCTGACATAAAGCTAACCAAACTCTGAAACCAGAGCTATTCATGTCCTCACAGATGAACCACAACAAAACCTGATCTTTGAAGGTCCACAACCAGCTCCGAACCAGAACCAGAACCAGCAGCAACAGTTCTGCCACATCTGGACAAAACACAAATTGGACTAAGACATAACTTCAGTCCAAACCTTCGTCAAACGCAGCGTAGCAACATGCTAACATGCTTCCGATGAAAAAACGGACGTGACCTTTGCCGTATGTTCCCTTGCGAATGGAAAACACGATTCAATACTACATTCATTATTCTGATGATGGATCTTTGTGACACGGTTCCTCAGTTTAGCGTCTCAGAGGAACGACTCCAGGAAACGTTCACATTTGAGACGCTGCAGTCACAGAATTAACAGAAACCACTGATTAATTCAGTCATTAAAGATCATTAAATCCTCATGTGCTGCTTCATGTAAATACAGAAAAGGAAGACGTTTTGTTTTTTAAATTGTGAGCCTCCAGCCTCTGGACCGTGAAGGTCTGGTGTTCATTAGGTCTGAACTCCTGCGTCCACAGCAGCCCCAGAGTGTAGCGGTCAGTAGGTCTACAGGCTTGAACAGCACCGTTCTAGTTCTACATTCAACATCCGACACCAACTGGAACGACCATAAAACCAGCGTTTACCGAACACGGAGCAACAGGTCACATCATTAACGAATGTAATCCAGTTCATAAAGACCTGCAGCACAAACTGACAAGAACGCAAACGGACCACAAAAAACGATCAAAAAAATCCACAGAACAAACTCCAACGCGTCCTGCTGCTGCTGCAGGGCTTTAACGAGCTCACAGGAAACACTCGTTAACAATCGCACTGTCGCACTCGTCGTCAGCAAAGTCGGCTTTATGGACATTTCTTCTGTACGCTCACTTTTCTGTAAAAACCGACTGATGTTTGACTCTAAACACGAGTCTGATCCACGGTAACAGAGATCCAGCAGGTGAGTCCTCCACAGGTGAGCTTCCAGGGCGACTCGCTGGTTAGCTGCAGGTTAACAGGAAAGGACGCTAAACTACCAAGTGGCACCAGTGGATCGGGCTGCTGCCGGTATTTAACATGTTGGGAGGAAAAACTCCTCAACAGCTGGAAGCAACAAACCGAACTGTGATTATTACTGTAAACCTGATCGAGGTGTCCCAGGCTCCGGCTGCCACGTTCTGATGTGTTACCTGCATTTCAGGAAAACAGGACTTATGAGTTAAACTGGTCCTTTAAAGCGGTTCCTACCAGTACAAGCAGCCCGACCGGTGCCACCAGGACACTGAGCTGTTCTCCTGAGCTCAGTCCGGTTCCTACTGACCGTCACCTGAAGGCCGACCTGCTGCAGGTGTCTAATAGGCTCAGAAGAAGACCTCCTGAGCTGAACCTGGTCCACTCACAGTGTGCTGCAGACAGCTTCCACGGCTGTGAGCCCTGACGGTCCGGACCTTCAGCGTGGAGCGGGTCTCTAACTCTGTCCTGTTTGGTTTAATGCTGAAATGTGGGAGAAGTTTCCAAACTGCTTCACAAAACTCAAAGTTTGTCACACGTGTCTGCGGCTTCCCGGGTCTGTGTGGACCTGCAGCCGAACCACCTGGACCAGGTGAGCCAGCTCACACTCTGCCTCTGCTCAGGCACCTGAACCAGGTGGGTCCAGGTGTCCCGAGCAGAGTCACCCCGCTGAGTGGAGGCAGCAGCCTGGACCCTTCGGCACCACGGAGCCGGTTCTGAGCGACCCAGGGCGCAGCTGTGCGCTATAGGACGGACACACCTCCTCTGTATATGGCCGTGGGGCTGTTGCATAACGCAGCCTACTTTCCAACTTACAGTAAACAGCAGCTATACGGGGCGGTGGAGCGGCGGGGGTCCGGCTCCCACCCAAACTGCTGGATCCGAGCTCGAACCGGGCGGGGGGCAGGAACTGGGGCAAAAAGTGTCGCCCCGCGCCCGGTTCGGGGCTTTTCCACCGTGTTCGTGCCCCGCAGCACCAACAGGTTGCCCCAGCCTCAGTGACACGTGTGGCCAAACTTCTGCCCCGCTCCCCCCGCCGCCGCGCTCCGCCGCCTCCCCCCGGTCCCGCTGCGCTCCCCTCCGGGTGACAGCTCCACAAACTGCCCCCAAACTAACTCCCGGAGCGTGTCAGCCCGGAGAAAAGTGTCCCGAAGCGGCCGCAAGTCCAACTCCGGACCGCTTTCCGAGCTAGTTAGCATGCTAATGTGTGTGAGTGTGTGTGTGAGTGTGTGTGTGTGAGAGCGAGTGTTGACGGAGCGCTGAAGTTCGGAGCAGCGGCGGCACAACAATTCGAATAAAAGTGCTTCGGCTCGATCGAAACGGCCCGGTTCGGCCCGGAGAGGGTGTGTGCTGAGCCACAGTGTGGTTGTTACCTGCCGGGCCCTCTGTAAGACATCGGCCAGGCCGTCAGACTTCAGCCCCGGCTGGTTCATCGAGGCCTGTCCCTGCACCAGCTCCGCCATCATAGCGCCACTAGCCGCTAGCTGCTAGCCGTTAGCAGGATTAGCTCGCCGTGCTAACTGAGCTGAAGCTGCCGTCAGAGAGGAGCCAGCGGCAGAGCGACCACTCCGCCGCGTCTCCAGGAGCCCGGAGGAGGACCGCTTCAGCTGCTGCCCCACTTTGGCTGCTCTGGTTTGGAAACTAAGGAGACGAAGTGAAGCTGGAGGACAGAAGAGAAGCGGTACGGAGCAAAACTTAGCAGCCTCGTCAAATAAATGAGGAGCTGAGTTTAACCAGAGCTCAGACTCAGGATGAGGACAGTGAGGCTGACCCACAACACACAGAGGCCACACAGTGACTGCAAACTGCACAAAACCCACAAAGGACACACAGTCAGCACAAAGGAGCACAACGCCCCACATTCATGTTTACTGACAAACAGGCCAACAGCATCATACAGAACACCGCTGCGGTCCCGGATTCATGGAGCCGCTCTGAGCAGCGCACAGAGCGGCTCCGCGGTTCGCTGTCGGAGCCTCGGAGTGGATCACCGCCCTCAGAGACGATCTGTGGCGCTGCTCAGCTGTTAGCAGCTCGGTGCTCTGTTTCCGCTTCCGCGTTGAGTCACGTGTCTGAGGCAACTCCACAGGTGGAGAGAAGTTTGAGCAGAAGAAGAAGAAGAAGAAGAAGGAGGAGGAGGAGGAGGAGGAGGAGGAGGTAGTAGTCTGCTGTGGGATCAGCTGCTGCCATGTTTGTTTGTTTGTTTGTTTGTCTATCTGTGTCAGTGACATCTGACCTTTGACCTCTGTTGTTTTTCTGCAGTTTAATGAATAAAGTTTGTGGTGTAAAAACAGTGAAGGCTGTGGGGAGCTTTCCCGCTTCATTTCCTTGGACTTGCAGGTGATTTTACTGATTTACTGTGGTGTTGGTGTCGGACATCAGCTGATCTGTGCGGCGCTGCTGATAAGATAGGAGCCGTGGCATAAAGCTTTATGGATCTGTGGAAGAAATCCGGTGTTTCAGCAGCTCAGCGGGGAACAGGCCGCAAACAGCAGGAAGCAAACAGCCGGAAAACTAAACAGAAAAACAACTCACGAGTCAAATTACGTTAAATGTAAACACAGACAACAGCCCAGAAGAGACCACAACAAAAACATCACTAACTACACAAGAGAGCCACAAAGAAGCATAAAGTGATCACAGAATGACGACAGCAAGGTTTATTATGACAACACTACACAACAGAGACACAAAGAGGCTCACATTTGTGTTTCAGTTGTTGTGTTTTGTTGCTGTTAATTGAACTGTGCAGCACTTTGTTGTTTGAATGGGGATGTGATGCTCCTGTTTAAGACCCTCCTAAAGAGATCAAAACTACGTTCATCCACAATAACTGACCTGTTGTTGTGGTTTTGTCGTACATTTCCATTATTAATACTTGGTAGAGTCCTGAACCAGAGTTCAGACACCCCTGAAGTGGGCCGTACCATTTGTTAGCCTTGACTTTAGCCTGCAGCAGTTCATTACAGTCTGTTGAATGGAAGCGCTGGGTGCTAATGTTAGTAGCTTCAGCGGTTTAACTAGGTAGATAACTAGTTGTACTAATAATGCACTTACCTTTGTACCTTCAAAGTTTATGACGAGTGTTTGTGTCTAGTGTGTGCAGATAAAATTATCTTGTTTCTAACAGTTTAGCCAACAATTTTTGCTAGCTAAAACTAACTAACCTTGGCTAGATAAAGCTAATATCGGCTAACCAATGTTTCAGAAAGGAGAGCCTGGGGGAGTCAACCTGTGGTTAGTTTATTAAATGTTGGAAGGACTGTCGTGTTTTAATGACTTTAATAACTAGTACCTAGTTAGAGTTGGATAACTAACTAGTTATCTAGCTCTAGCTATGTCACTAGAGTGAGCTCACTAGTAACTAGTTAGAGCTAGCTAAGTAAATGGATAACTAACTAGTTAGATTGCGAGTACTGTTTGCTGTTGCACCTTCATAGCTTATGAATTAAATGGTTTCTAGTGTCTATAGATGGTAGATAGTTAGCTTGCTAGCTTTCTAAATAGTTAGCTATTTAACTAATTCAATCGCTAATACACTTTACTTCTGTACCTTTGTAGCTTATGAATTAGTCTGTTTAGTGTCTATAGATGAACGCTAATATTAGCCAGCTTCTAACTTCTGCCTTAATTACACTTTAGCTGACTAATGTTTGCTAAAGCAAACAATCGCTAACTGATGTTTTAGGCGGTAAAGTCCTGGGGCGTCATTTATCATCAGAGCGTGCGAACATTCCCACGCAAAATATGGAGTTTATCAACTTGTACTTATACTTTGGAATGTGCGTAAATATACGCACACCTCTGACCGTGCGTACGCACATAATCTAGTGGTAGAACAGTGACACTACAAATA